CCCCAAAACCCCAAAACCCCAAAACCCCAAAACCCCAAGGAACGAGTAAAAAATATAAATTATCACATTAAAATAATTATTTTTAACCATGGATATTGTCTTACTCGGACATCACAAGAAGTACACTCTTGATGGCACCCAACATGATTATGTCTTCCCTCTTCAGGAGATGTTGATGACTGTGTTATACCTCAAGGCTAAAGTCACCCTCAGGATCACCAAGGATTGTAACCTGAAGGATGAAGTATTTGGCGAACTCCCATATTTCATCTTTCAAGCAGACAATGGTGGTGCTAAGTTCATTACAAGGGATAATATCCCTAAGTTTATGAAGACCTGCACCACGATTAACGATTGGATGACAGATAAGCAAAAGAAAGCATGAGAGTGGATAGAGCATTACATTCTTGACCTTGACCCTTCTTTTAAAACTCCTCCAGATTGAAAGCCTAATGGATTTAATTTGTTCAGGTCAAAATTCTATAGGATCAGTTCTGTTTATCTTGAATATGAAGCCCACCAGAAGATCCTCCAGATTTTGAATGACAAATTAGCAGATGGGACATATTTTTATAGCGAAGAAAAACTCTGAACTCTGGATATTTTGGCCTATTATTGGCTCAAGCAGAAACTTCTCAACGAGAAATTGTCTGATTACGTTGCTGAAAATGAAGGAATTCAGCATAATTTCCCTAAACTTGTAGATTTTGTTACTAGAATGTCAATAATTTTCAAAAACCTTGAGTCCGAAGTCTCTAAATATAAGAACAGTTATGATCCTACTCTGAATATTGACCCACAGATTGAACTTCCAGAGCAAATGGCTCATTTTACCTGGAAAGATGAGAGCACACTGTTGCCTGCTCTCGAAGAATTCAAGCAAAGAGATGCTCTGTTGCTTGAAGGAAAGGTCAAATATTCCAGAGCAAACACATATCTCGCAGAGCCAAGGAAAAAGAGATACAAGTATGTTCTTTCAATTAACTTTTTAGGAGGCTCCTCGTGTCTGTTAGCTTACTGGCCCTCTTCTGCAAATATGCACCAAAAAGATTATTCTCAACCAATTATTAAGCAATGACTCAACTGTATCTCGAGCTATAGGGGTTTTGGGGTTTTGGGGTTTTGGGGTTTTGGGGTTTTGGGG